GGGTGGTCGTATAGGTATAGCAGCAGCAATAGTGGATGCTGTGCTGCGCTATGCTATGATATGCTATGCTATGCTATGCTGTGCTGTGCTATGCTATGCTGCGCTATGCTATGCTATGCTATGCTATGTGTTTGCTTTGCCTTCGCGTTTGCCTTCACTTGTGCCTTTGCTTTTGCTTGGCACCCAGGGAGCACAACTGGGGGAACGGCGCGTTTGCTTTTACCTTTGTTGTTGCTTTTGCTTGGCTCCCAGAGGACTGGGGGAACCGCCCGGGGCGGTTTGCACTGCCCGGCCCCTTTAAGCCAAGCGAGTAAGAACCCTTCTAGGCAGAGCCTAGGTAGGGAATAAGAAGAATAAGAAAACGAAGAAGAGGAAAAAGGGAATGAGCAGCAGCAGCAGCACCACCACCACCACCAGCAACAGCAGCAGCAACAGCACCATGAATAGTAGCGGCGACATGAGCAGCAAGCGCAGGAGCAGCGGGAACAGCAGGAAGAGGCTCCGTAACTACAGCAGGGACTGGGCGGAGGGGACGGACGAGGATTCATGATTCTCGATCCTCGCTCCTCCTCCTCCTCCTTTCCCTCCTCCTTTTCCTCCTCCTCCTCCTCCTCCTCCTCCCCCTCCTCCTCCTCCTCATGCTCCTCCTCCTCCTCCTCCTCTTCCTTTCCCTTTTCCTCCTCCTCCTCCTCCTCCTCCTCCTCCTCCTCCTCCTCCCCCTGCTCCTCCTTCCCGTGGCCTCGGACGGAGGGGGGCGGAGGGGCTGGGAGATATTTCAGAGGGCTTGCCTCCTCCCATCGGGGGCCGTCGAGCGGCGCGGCCAGCGGGCCGATGAGGGCGCGGAGGGGCACGGCGCGCGGGTGCGAGGGGCGGGCGGGCAGGGAGCAGTCGGGCGGAGACGGGAGGAGGCAGGAGGAAGGGGGACGAGGAAGGAGGAGTGCTCTTTGTCGGGGGCGGCAAAGAGGGGGGTGGTGACCAGGGGGGGGATATCATGGCGGGGGTCAGGATACCTCCCTGGATCTTATGGCGCCCCTTCTTGGTTCAGGACGTCCCCGCCCCCACCCTCCTTGGCCGCGCACATGCCGCCGGCCATGATTTGCGCCCCCCCCCCCTCTTGGACGGCCCCCTCTTGGCCTCCGCCGAGTTTGCTGCTGGCAACTCCAGCAGCAGGCGTCAACAAGGCCTTCAGGTGAGGAAAGGAGGTGTAACGCGGGCAGACGAGGCCATCCGTGTGGAAGTAGTGGCGGCAGTTCAACGACCAGCAGGGCCAGATCTGAGATATAGACCTGGCTGAAGAGGTACCGCCCTACGATAAGCATATTACCGAAGTGAATACGACAAAGGCAACATTGTTAAAACATGCGAAAACCGCAGACGTGCCATAAGGGTCGACGTGGTCCCAGCCCTCGGGTCCCCCAATCCAAAGCTGCTCTGATTTGAATTGTGGCCTAAGTGGCAGCATGCTCGAGGAGCTTCACCAGACCCTGGCTTCCCTCGCCACGCCAGCAAAGTACATGTGCTGAGGCGGGGAGGAGGAGGATCATGATGAGGCGGGATGAGGCTGCACGAGAGTGGAGAAGGAGGAGGTGGGGAGCGAAGAAGGGGGCCTCACCCATAAGTCTTACCAATCCTCCCCCTTCCAAGCGCGGCATCATCACACAGCCCTCCTTGCAGAGGGCTCTTCTTCGTCTACGCAGGAGTACCACCTGGATGACCATGGCCACGGATGTAGGTTGAGGTAGTTTTCGGATAAGGTGGGCGGCAGGGCACCTGCGCAGAGCAGAGCAGCAGGTACATTGGAGCATGTGTTGCTGGAGCAGTTGTGATATCGCATTGGTGCCACAGCCTCGAAAGGCGATCGCCGAAGTAGAGTGCGCGGATACGGTGCCGGTCGTGGAGGCACGCCGCTGATTGCCATGACAGTCGGACCGAGGTATAAGATCGAGGTCGGCTCGGGGAGGGTACCCTAGTGTTTTTTTGTGTTTGTTGGAGGCTCTTGTGCATCCTGGGGAGGATATCCTGGGACGTGATGTGTGTTTTGGCCGGCGGAGGGTCTCATGTGTTTGAGAGATGTTATTTTGGTATACGTCCGATTCTTTTTCATCCAAATCAATTGCGCCATGCAATAGTACATCTAGCGTGCTCCCTTATTTCGGCGTTTGCGAACGTCATATCCCGCTCGCGTTTCGGCATGCTCGCGCTTTGGCACACTGCACCTCCAGTTGCTCAACGTTGGTTCGATGTTTGATTCCATCATATGTGCAGCCGTCAACAACATGCTTTCTAATGCTTGCTCTGGGGTGGGGGAAGCCCTTCATGCGACGACCCGGGTTTGCAATTTTACGTGGCGGTGGCGCATTGTTGTGGCATGTGTGTTGCAATCCGCGGTGATCTTGCACTACCCGCAGTGCAGGCTGCCGCCTCGAAGCGGATGCTCGAATCGTGGTCGTTAAGCCAGGGGGGGCAGAAGCAGAAGCAGGAGAGGCAGGAGGAGCAGGAG